TTCAAGACAAAATTATATAGACAACACACCCAGTAACAACATAATTAAAATATGAGTGACAATGAACGATGACACCAGTATTTTAGAAATGAGAAGATACATTACATTTAAAATAATAGTACCATGAATTGCGTGTGCTGCTTTCTCATCAAATATGGAGAAAATTGGAATAATATCTTTAATGCAATAAACAAATCAAAATATTATGTTTAGGAAATCCACAATATATAAAACAATATATAAAGAAGTAAAAATTAACCACTAAAGGAATAAATCTGTAAAACTATAAACTAACCATTTTCCAAATGAAGAATTATTAGAGGGCAGTAAATATATGAAAAATATTCAGCATTTAAGTCATTGGGAGAATGCAAATCAAAGGTGTTCTGAGAGTTCATTGATCCCCGTGACAATGGTGATCATATGTGGATTTTAGACATAAGTAAAGGATTGCCAGCCTGCAGCCCAGACTGCCAGAGAGGCTGGTAAACAAGGAGGATCCTAAGAGAGACATACATGGTCCCCTGGAGAAGGGGAAAGGGACAAGATCTCCTGAGAAAGTGGGGAGCAGGGAGGGAGGGGGGAGGGAACTAGGAGAATGAGAAGGGGAGAAGAGGAGGGGTGAGGAAGACATGATGGGACAGGAAAGTTGAGTTGTGGGAAAAACAGAAAAGAGCAAGATGATAAAGGGAGACATTATAAGTTTAAAGAGAAATCAGGCACTAGGGAAATGTCTGGAGAGCTAAAAAGATGACACCAACTAACAATCTAAGCAACAGAGGAGAGGCTACCTTAAATGCCCTCTCCTGATAAGGAGATTTATGACTAATTCATATGCCATCATATAGCCTTCATCCAACAGCTGGTGGAAGTAGAAGCAGATACCCACAGCTAAATCTTGAATTCAACTGAAATACATATGCAGAGAAGGAGGACAGATGAGCAAAGGGTTCCACACCAGGCTGGTGAAACCCACAGAAATAGCTGACCTGAACAAGGGAAAACTCTTGGTCCCCAGACTGATAGCTGGGAAAGCAGCATGGGACTGATTCAGAACCCCTGAATGTGGGTGTCAGTGAGGAGACCTTGGAAATCTATGGGGCCTCTTGTAGTGGATCAGTACTTATCCCTAGCATAGGAATGGACTTTGGGAGCCCATCCCACATAAAGGGATACTCCCTGAGCCTAGACACAAGGGGGTTGGCCTAGGCCCTATCCCAAAGAATATGACAAACTTTGAAGACCCCTTATGTAAGGCCTCACCCTTCCTGGGGAGCAGAAAGGGTATAGGATGGGTAGGGCATTAGCTGGGGGATGTAGGGGAGGAGGGGAGTGAGAGGGACCTGGGATTGACATGTAAAATAATTCTCTTTCTAATAAAAAACAAAACAACAACAACAAAAAAGAAATCAACAACAAATATTGGCGAAGGTGCCAAGGAAAAGGAACACATAGTAATGCTAATTTCTTAAGTTTTTTTTTTCATAAACTAGAGAGTCACTATGGACATGGGTATATGGTTTCCTCAACAACAACAAACTAAAAATATTATTATCATATGATTCCCCATAGCAATCTCTGTAAACATGTAAAGGAACCAAAGTTAGCAATGACAGAGATCCTTCCACCCTCATGTTTATTGAGACAGCATTTATAGTAGAGTCATTAAATCAGCCTAGATGTCCATCAACCAGTGAGAGGACAAATAAAATGCAGCCTATATACAGATCGAGGTATTATTCATCCATTAAGAGAAAGCAATCATGCAATTAAGACGGGAGTTATTGAATTGTAGATCATTGTGCTAAGTGAAATAAGGCAGGCACCGAAAGACCAGTACGAAGTATTCTTTCATGGATGAAATTAATATGTCATGAAAGTAGAACTGTAACTATTAAGGAATAACAAAGTGAGAAGAGAAGGCAGGTACTGGAAGGGGAAGTATAGCCACAGCTTCTTATGAAGCCCATTATTTTGTAGAGTTAATATACACTAATATAATGGAGGAAGGATACAAGCTTGCTGACATCTATGTCAATTAGGTTGTGTTAATCTCACAGACAAACAGATATCCTTGGGGTACTTTCTCCTCATTTTTTCTTATCCCTGAATTCTACTGAAACTATCAATGGCACAGTTTCCATTTTACTGTTTACAGAGGTTTTTACCTTCTGCAGAGCAGTGACTTGCATTTTATCTGTACCGTATTTCAAATTAGTGTCACACATCTCCCAAGACAACATAAGCTTATTCTAAGTCTCTGTGATAGCACATTTGTTTCCTTTTCTTCCTAGTCCAATAGTTTCTAAGCATTTCATATATCATAAATAAAATTTCAATGTAACTGGGTTGAAATAGCTTTTCTACGATAATTTGATACATCAGCATAGAGCAGTGTATCCTTAACTGTGAATAACTGTAGATATGTAGCTGTAAAAGGTTTTAGTTTATTAAGATTTTAATAAATTTCCTGAAGTCCCTTATTTTTATGGAATATACACACATATATTATTCATACAAAGGTTCATATATATGAGAGAAAAAATACTACATTTTGATCTCACAAGTTTCTGAATTTTAAAAATAGGAAGCACACATTTTATTTTTTTTTTATTCTGTGGTGTTATGTAACTCCAAGTGAATCTGTAACCAAGCTATTAGGGAAAATTATTTCATACTTTAATACAGTCATTAATAACAGTGGTATAATATCTTTAATTTTCTTCATCATTGTTAGTATATTCATAACTTATTTTTGAAGCCTGGGGTCAATACTCATAATTTTAGTAGTTACTTTCATGTTGCTCTGGCCACACTATTTAGCAGGAGCAACTTACCAAGGAAAAGAGCAGCTTCAAAGGCTCTCTGACCATCATGTTGGGGAAGCCACGTTGGAACAGTTCAGTTCAGGGCAACAGGATCATGTGGTGGAGGCTGTACTTAAACCACAGCCCGCTGACAAGAAAGGACAGAGCTAGGCAGGATCCAGACACCCTACCGGATCCAGAATCCCACCCAAAGAAGTGAACTACTTCTGCCTGCAAAACCCCACTTGGATCTCCCAAATAATTTCAAGATAGTGTGAACAAATGTTCAAAAATGAGCCTATTGGGGACACTTCTGGTTCAAACATAGAAGTAGTATTTTTCAGAAAAATGCCTTTCCCATCAGAATTTTTAATGTTTTAGAGCTATGAAAAGGAGTCTGTTTTACATCTAAAGTAACATCTATTTTAAATTTTTCTTTTATTACACAGTCAGTTTATATTCTGTTTTACTACAACGTCTTTTAATCCTTATCCTCCAAACTCATGCAAAACCAAAACAAGATCATAAATTTTGGTTGGTTTTATAGTTAGGTATGAATTTTTCCTTAAAAAATTATTGATGAATAATATTGTTTAATTCTTTCATTCTTGTAGTTTTTTTAAAGCTATTGTATCCTGTTTTGTTCTTTGGAAAATAAATTATAAAGTTAAAATTCCTTAAGTTCATAAGTCTCTATGAGTCTTTACCTTTGACTGCCAATTTGGCTGTAACGTGCACTTTATCACTTTTCTCTATTGTATGTAAGAATTCTGCAAATGGAGACTTTTTTATCTTTTATCTGAACAATTTTTGACACTAAGGATGTTTAAAATTAGTGAGTTTTCAAACATTACAGTTTACTCTTCCATGACACACTGTACCAGGCTCCTCGTTCAGGTTACATGAATATTATATATTTGTATTTACACACTTAGTTCTCATAATCCCTGAGTTTCCTAGAAACACACCATGGAGAGGAGGTCTGTAATGCCTCTGCTCTTGACTACATGCTCCTCTGTTTTTACTATGGATTTTAGAAGAGTTGTGGAAAGAGAAGCCATTGCTACTGCTTTTGGAAGACTGAGCTTGTAGGACACTTATGATGTGTTACAATTGCTAAGACAGGAGATATTTTTCCCTGCCAAGATTTCTGCTCCTGAAATATATTAATACTTTTTATAGCATCTTCTTTCTGCTAAAGTTAATGTCTAGTTAAACTTTCTCATCAACTAGTCTCTTTTAAGTTAATTAATGTTTAGGTATCCTGAGCCTATTTAATGTGTGATTAAAATTTTCAAAGCTAAATAGAGTTTATGCCTAGGGAATTTTACTGACAAGGGTAGTTGAATTGTATGACATTTTGTAGAATAATGATAAAAATAAATGTGAATCTAAAAAAAAAACCCACAATGAGTTATTTCAACGTTTTCAGTTTTTAGAATCCTAAGGAAATCATTCTAATGATTTGCCAGTTTTTAAGTCTTTCATTCATATGACATCCAGAACTACTTTTGAGTTCTTTTATGAGTCTGACAGAGTTAATTTATATGTGTGTGATCAAATAAAAATTTTAATCTTGGATTCTATTAATCTTCAAATAGAAACATCTTCCAGACAACAAAAATTGAGCAAGGAAATGAATGTGTTTTATAATCTCTCTCTTTTCTTTAAACAATGTCTGCTCTGTAGCATAAGGCTGGCCTTAACTCATGATTATCCTGCCTTGATGCCTTCATTTAAAGTTTGTTTCCAAAACCATCAAAATTTGAAGCTTGATTGTGTTTTTTCATTAAAATATATTCTAAAATAGGGCATTCAAGTGTTTTTCTATAATCCTTTTACTTAGAAAATGGAGGCAGAGGAATGAAGACTAAAAACTGGTAAAACCTCAGGTCAAGCAGACATCCAATGAAATTTACCGATGAGAATTAACAATACTTTTGACAAAGTATGGAAATAATATTATAATTATCATGCTAATATTTCTATGATGTCAACAATGCTTCATTATATGTAATGAAACTACAGAGTCACAAAGTCATTCATTTTTTTATTAATAACTAGTAATGAGTTGTAATCATTTTTTCTAGACTTTTCATATGCTATTTTCTTAAACGTTTTCCACTGTCAGTCTATTCAAAAGAACATATGCAGCATATCTAACATGAATTATTTTGCTGTATTACATTCATTGCCTTCTATGTTCTTACCAATGCATGTATTATCTACCCCCATCACAAGGAAAAGCACCACGAACCTTCATGACCTCTGGGATATTGTCTGTCATTGCTGATGCTCTAGTAACCAGTGCTAGGAGATCTCCTTCAATGGAATTGATTTTCACTAAAAGTGTGTGGAAAAAACAGGAAACCAATCTTAGAGTGAGATAGATATCATGGGATAAAATGTTCACAAAATATTGGGCAAAAGTATCAAAGTGTAATGAAGAATGTTCTTGAGAAAACATTTTTATAGTGTTAACTAGCATAGCTTTCAATTTAGTTTACCAAAAAAGCGGGTTGCTTTTTATTGCAAATTTTTATAGTCGTATTTAATATATACACTTTTATCAAGCTACATTTGAAAAAAGAATCTTGAAAGAGAAGAATAATGCATACTTCAGTACTCTGGATTCATGTGTATAGAGCAGATCTTTAATTATCAGTGTAATGAGGTGAGCATTAGCTATGAGGTATGAGAGTTAGAAGAAGATAAAACAGTAAATCAGATATGATAGCAATAAGCTGTTAGTTTCTCTCAGATGCACTCTCCTATTCAGGCATCCTTGCCCTGACTCAGTTCTCAGCAACATATTTCTCTATGATATATTTCTCTATGATATATATATATCATATATATCACATATATTTAATATATTTAATATATATATTAAAATATTAAAAAAGAAAAGACAATATATATTCACACATTGTCTTTTCTTTTTTAATATTTTATTTAATTTATTTCATTTTACATACTAGCCCCTGTTCCCCCTAGCCCCTTCTCCCTCATCCCATGTTCCCTCTCCTACCTCCATCCACATTTCAGAGAGGATAAGGCCTTCCTTGGGGAGGCAAATAAGTCTGGCATACCACCCTGGAAGCAGCACCAGGACCTATCCCAGGTGCATGAATTGGTTTTTCGGAGCCCATTCCCTATGTTGGTATAGTTTTTCTTATATTAGTTATAACCGTCTTTTTTTGTTATTTTTAGATAAAAAGGGAAAATGTGGTAATCCTTTGTTTATATTCTAACAAATAAAGCTTTCTGGAAAATCAGAGGATGGAACTAGCCATGTAGAGGTCTGGAGTTCTGTACAGATAGACAGGAAGCGATAGCGCTGGGTGAAGAGAGGAATGTAAGGCGGCAGGAGACAGGAACTGGATCTCTTTCATATGAGGAGTTAGCAAGGTAAGCGTTGGCTCTGTCGTGCTCTTTTCTCTCTCCGATCTTCAGGCAAACTTTATTTGTTAGCATATAAACAAGTAATCACTGCACTCCAAACTTTTATATTTGAATAAAATATTTGTATATGTTTGTATATATAATTATAGGAGCTAAAATATATATATTTGTATATATAATTGTATATTTGTACATATAATTATAGGAGCTAAAATGACAAATATTTTTGCCCCTATTGATTTTCTGATTGTCTGATACACATCGTACTTGAGAAATAAAGGCTGCAAGTACAGCTGGGGTTCTTCCAGTTAAGGTTCATCTTGGTGTCTAATGAAGCAAAGCACTCTATGCTGTAATGGGTGGGGGCATCAGTATTGAAGCAGCTGGAGTCATAGCTCATTTTGGCACTATGACTGATACAGGATAAAGAAAGTAGCTATATGCCAGGTGGAGATAAGTCACTTAGCCAGCTGATTACATCAAATTGCTTGCAATATAATCATCTGGGACACATTTACCAAATTGGCATTTCAAATCATTGTACAGAAGGTGAATTAATCACCCAGGTATATGATTTAACAGTATGTGTTCTGAATGTGCTCAGAGAAGGCTCTTAATAAAAGTTCATTGTAATATATAGACAGAAAATTAACCAACAAAAATCACAGCTGATTTTTGTAATGTTAAATTTATTTTTACTTTATGACTTGAACTTGCCTCAGTAAAATACTATTTTACTTACCAATGAATTCTCAAATAGGTTAAAATTTATACTGATACATCAGATGAGAAAAACATAAGTACATTAGACTAGAATTTGTGCTATTTCACCCCTGATTTTCTTTGTGCCATTTTCCATTGTGAATCAATCAGAATTAGATTACAACTCATTTTAAAATTTTCCTAGTTCCCCATTGCTTTGTATTTGCCAGCCCCTGGGTCAGAATTCAGATCTATTGTGTCACACATACATTCTTCTTGATTAAGAGACTGTTGGTTGGCATGATGAGGTTTTACACGGTCCCTAGGTCCTACAGAGTTCATTTAAACTAGCTTGCTATTTTCACATTTCATTACATAGAGAAAATGAAATGTGGGAAGGATTACAGCACAGTGTACATAATTTTCCCAATCTTTGAAGCTGATGACATGACAAATGGTGATAAAAATGTGCTTTATATCTTAGCACAGTAGTACTGAAATTAACATAAATTGAGCTCTGTTACTATTTCCCTTTTCTATTAAAAAGAAAAAAGGCAAATGCTGAAAACTCTTGCCTGAGCACTCTAACCAAGATGTTGTTTGCTGTTTGTTCAAGCTATTCTGAGAACTAAATGATTCCTTGTCTTAGGAACTTTAAGTCTCTGGAAATATCAGAATTAGAGTTTCTGCATCTTTTAGTGCCTATGGCAAACAATTCTATGTGTGCACTGCAAAAAATTTGTCAAGATGGTTGATCCTAAATTAAGTATTCTTACCAAAATAAAACCAAACAAAAATGTTGCCTTCCTTTCCTTAGATATTTTCCTTGCATTTATAGCATTGTTAAATTTCTTATGACTCCTGTGAAATAAAACTAATAACTATTTAGGAATTTAAAAGATGAGTTAGTTAAGAAAACTGCTACTCTCCTAAAGGACCTGCATTCAATTCCCAGCATCAAAGTTAGTGCCAGTGGACTCGGGTGATCTTCCTGTCTTGCTTCCCTGGTAACAGTATTACAAGAAGGGCATTGCTAATCCAAGCCTCTTATGTGGACGCTAGGAATACAAACTCATATCCATGTAAATGATCACTTTGTCCCCAGGATCGTCTCCTCTTCATTAATGATGCTTTCTCTTTATCTGACTTATTGAAATCAAAAATGAAATAGAAACATAGTAAACAACACAAAGAAGCAAATAATGTGAGAGTTGGTTCTCTGAAAAGATAAACAAGATTTACAGACCTTTAGTCCAATTAATCAAAATAAAGCTACAGGAAACCCAAATTAGGAGAAGCAGGGAAACATCACACAACTCACTATAGAAATTAAGTATTATGCTGAAATACTGTGAAAAACCTTTACTCCACTAATTTATAAACCCTAGCAGAAATGAATTTCTAAATTCATTCAAACTACTGAAGTTAAACTAAGAAGAAACCCACAACTTACATAGACCCACAACAATTAAGGAGATTAAAGCAGTTGTAGAAAGCCTTCCACCTAAGAGAAGTCCAGATCTAGATAGAAGCACAGCAGAATTCTACCAGACTTTGAACAAAGATTCATAATCAATCCTTTTTGTGTTTTTTTTTTCATTTGTTTGGTTTGGTTTTGAGGCAGTCTCATTACATAGCTCTGGCTGTTTCTGAACACACCATATTGGCTAGACTGGCCTGAAACTCACAGAGATCTCCCTGCCTCTTCCTCCACAGTCCTGGGATCAAAGGTGTGTACCACTATATCTTACCCACAAGCGATATTTCTTAATTATTTTAAAAAGAGAGAAAGAACTAATGAAATAAACATGAGTACTTCCAAACTTCTACAAAGCCAGTATTACTCTAATCTCAAACCAGGTAAAGATACAACATAAAAAGAAAACTACAATCTATTATTCAATACCAATACAGATTCACAAATTCTCAATATAATACTTGCAAACCAAATATAGGCATATATTGAAATGACCAACCACCACGTTCCTGTTGGATTTATCTACTGGATGGCCTTTTAAGGAAACTCGGGATTTAGACTATGGAGTGGTTACTATCAGTTGCTTTCATCTATGCTTACATTGAGAACTAGGAGGAAGAAAGCAGAGAAGAAACACTGACAAACTTGAAGTTCATGTCAGAAAAATCGATGTAAAATTGGAGTTATGGAACCAATAGTTCTTGTTGTCATTAAAAGGAAACAAGTAATTTGCATCAGGAAATGTAAGGGACGTGTTGTGCATGTATCAAGAATTGATGAAATTTCTCCCATTGCAGATTTAAGGGTAAAAAATGAACTTGCTTGAAAGATGTCCCCTTGACAGGAGAGTGCTTCTTGATAGCATTTTCTAAGGCATGTGGTCTACAGATTTATTCATTTGTGATCTCAGAGGGCCTGAGTCATATTCCATCTACTGTTCAAGTACTAACAGACGCTGACATGACCCAAATAATGCTTGTTTTTCAGGTATGCAAAATTTGAAAGTCGAAGCTTTATACAGGCTCCACTTGGACTTCAAAAGGGAGCCTGTGGGGCCAGGCAATGTGTTGCAAAAGCCACTATTCACAAAGACAGTATTTGGGAGGATGACTCATTAAGGTGCGATAGGAAAGCAGTCAAAGACCCTATGAAGCTGGGGAGATGTCATAAATGTGGAACACCTACCAAAGGAAGACACAGGCAACAAGTAGAGCAAACCTCAGGAGACTTTATGGGCTTAAAATGGAAAATAGTGTAGGCTGTTTATGCCAGTCAGGGCTCACATTATACCACCGTGTGCTCCAAACACTGGATGTGGATCTTTGGATTTAAATGTCGGCCTGGCTTTCCATCTTGCTTGGGTTCCATGTCTCCATTTTATGCCCCGATTACTTCCTTTTGAAAGGGCAATGCTTACTGAGAGCTATTGTATATTACAAGTTGCTTTTTAAATTTTACCAGGACTCATAATTAAGTTTGTCTTGAATCTTAAAAGATACCTGGGGCCAAACTCCTGAGCATCATTGGAACAATTAATACTTGGGCTCCAGGAGATGTACAAACTGCAATGTACATTATGAAATGCAAATGGGCCTAGGAGCCTAGGATATATGTTATGATTTGGATATAAATGTGTTCCTCACAAAGCCTCATTCCTTGTCTTAGTGCAGCACAAAGCATGTTAGTCTCAAAAAGCTGTGTGGGATAAAACACACACACACACACACACACACACACACACACACACACACACACACCC